GGCCGATAGGAGTTAACGCCCGCACCGCAGGCGGGGAGCCAGGCCGGTGGGGGTTAAACTGCGGAGTCTAATGGAATAATGACGGGTAGCACCATCTGCTGGCCTACTTCCGCAGAAGGAGTCCGTATTTTTAACGACATCTCTAATATTCATGCTGATGCATTTTGATGCTTTGTGCATTCATTTCTTTCTGTGCTTTGTTGGAATCTGGCTATCTGCTCCCAGCTGTTGTTGAAAGCCCGCGCCGGGGGGGGGGCGGCAGCCCTCGCCGTACCTGGGCTGGAGGATCTGTGGACGCCCGCTTGCCAAGGGAGGAATATGTTGATAAATCACGCTGTGTGTTTGTGGAGGGTTGTGCATATCTTGGCCGCAGCTCGCTAAATAGGCCATTTAGCAATCTCCTTTCAATGCTTTTCTCTTGAGCACTACTTGGGGTGCTGAAAAAGCAGAGGGCAAGCCTTTGTCTGACGCCAAAAATGTCTTCAGTGAAGAGGCCGAGGGGAAGGGTAAGTGAAAGCCTGAATGAGTGGGAGGAGGAGGGGTTCTTTGGGCTAAAAGGCTAATGGGATTGAATAACCTTCCTTATTACTGGCTGCTTGCTGCGGGAGCCGTGCTGCATCGCCATCTTGAGCTTGTTGCTGTTTTCTCGGGTCCTGGTTATTTGTTGCAGCCTGTAGGCCTTGAGGTGGCATTTTAGAGAGCGATCCTGAACCCTGCCTCCCTCCCGGCGCTCAGCGCTGCTGCTGAGCCTTTGATGAGGCACGTATAGGACATGTATCCAGTGAAGTGCACTGGATTGGGCCAGAAAATGTGGTTGGAAATTCCTGGTGGCTTTTCTCCACGCTGTAGGCAGAGGCGCATTTACGGGTGAGAACGTAACATAACTGTTATCTGCTGGGTTTTTTGTCTGTTTGAATAGGAAATTCTTTCCATTCCTCAAAGGGGAAGGGGGGAGGGGAGGAAAGCAAAAACATGTCTTCTTCTAGCCTGGCTAGAGAGGCTGATAATCTGAATATTGCTTTCGTAGCGTGAACAATTTGGCGTCGATGAAACGGTGCTTAAAAACGTCAGAATAGAAACAGGTTATGTTTCCTAACTAAGCCACTGACCTCAGGCTGATCTAAAGAAGAGAGATCCAGCTTTCCGATCTTTTTAGGAATATAGAGCTGGGTAGTTTTGGTTTGTCTGGTTTTTAATCTTGATTGCGTTCGAGCATCTGTTCTGTTTAGCACTGAGTTTGTCTTGCAGGTCTTTCATCTGCTTTAAGGTATCTGTGATCCTGGTATTTTATCACGGGCGAAGTACTGATGCTGTTACCTTCAGGAGTTTTTTGCTTTTTCAGCTGTTAGGAGGAGAACATTTATTGGAGATGTTGGAGGTGTCTGTCAAATGTATGGGAATGCCTCAAAGGTTAAGGGTTGGTGCCTTTAACTAAGAAGTGGAAAGAAGTCTGAGAGAATTTTAGAAAGATACTTTTTTTACTGATTTTCAGTACATGGATTGGTTGTTTAAAACCCACAATTGATGTAGTTATTCTGAAACCCACGCCATTCTGTCTTTTTTTTTTTTTTTTTTTTGGTGTCTGTATGAGTCCCTGACGGTTAAATTTTTTTTAAATGCATAGCCAGATCAAAAACATTTGGACTTTTTCTTTCAAGAAATGTTTATATCCTTAAAATAAGGTCATCTTATTTACTTTTTGTCTCTTGCTACAGCCTCCTTCCTCCAAGAAGACTGATGGTTCAGGATCATATACTAAGTTGCAGAATACCCAGGTGAGGGCAATGTCTGAAAAGAAGCAGAAGAAAAAAGCAGACTCGGAAAGTAAACAAGAGAAGGCAAATCGCATAATATCTGAAGCGATTGCAAAAGCAAAAGAGAGAGGAGAGAGAAACATTCCACGAGTAATGAGTCCTGAGAACTTCCCCAGTGTTTCAGCTGAAGGCAAAGAGGAAAAGAAGGGTAGAAAAGTTAAATCAAAACCAAAGGACAAGGAGAGCAAAAAACCAAAAACTGGTTCCTCGTCCAAAATTAAAGAGAAAACAAAAATTGGGTAAGTAGATGAAAATGTCCTCTTACTTTTCTTCAGGCGGTAAATCTTTGATTAAAATGAAAACTGCTTACTGATAATAAAATGTTCTCCTCCACTGCCTACACAAAATTCTTCCTGATTAAGTCCATTTGTGGACTCTCTCATTCAGGGACAAGAACGCTCTGTTTCTCTTTAGATAAAATCATTGCAGAACTGTCCTTTTGAAAGGATTTATTTTAAATTCATATTCTAAAGCATTCTATACAAGCATAGACAAGACTGAGTTATCTTTCATCCAGTGTTGTAATCGGTTACGACTCCAAGTTAAGTTTATCTGATATTATAAATGCTGTCTTTATCCGTTTTGGCATGTATCTTCAATGCAGTGTGCATGATAAACTGCATAGGGAGAAACTGGAAGCTTAATGAACTTGTTATCAAGTGAATATTCTTACCGGTATCACATGTATAAAAAGTAGAGTGCGTACTGGAAAATCTGTATTCTTTGTAGTCTTCCATCGTATCAGTTCAATCTGACCTCTTAAAAATTTTGCAGACTCAGCTGGGTTAAGGAGCTTTTTCAAAAGACGTTAGATGTTAGAATGCTCCGAGGGTTCAGTAGGTAGCACGTCTTCTGACTCTAGAGCTAACCTAGTTCTCCTGTACGCTTTTAAAGGAAAGTGTGTGGTTTCCAATGTTAGGTATGTCAGTCAGGACTTGAAATGTAAATCTTAGCTACAGTCTGGTTTTAGTTTTTTAAATCCATGCTCTTTTTGCGGTAACAGAAATATTAACTGGCATCTCTCTCCACATTTAAATGTCTCATATACATATGCATATTCTTGTGTATATGGAGCAGAAATGAATGTTCTTTTAATCAGCCCATTTCTCTGCATTTTTTTTTTCCTACAGATCAGTGCTTTTTTTAAAGGTTCAAAGTAACCAACTTCCTTGAGAAGTTACCCTGTAGTATAAAGGTTACTGCTCTAAACTCAACTTGATTCTTATCGTGAACTTTCATGGTCTTAATTTCTTCCTTGTCCGGTTATGGGTTGGCATATTAGTGCTGTTCATAATACTTAGCGCACTGTATAGTGCTTCCTTTTCTGTGTTTTCTCCATCTTGTCTAAAGTGGGATTTTGGGTGTGTTACTTCCAGAGTTGATTTTGCTTTCATGTTTCTGAACTTACTGATGTTCCGTAACAGATATTTTGTGGGTCTGTCTAAGCAGAAAATTTGCACACTGTCTGAGCAGAAAATTTGCACACAAGCTTTATGTGACTTGCCCTTAGTGTGCTTTGTATTCACGCCTTTGGATATTTTAACAAAACCTGCCAAAATATCATCCTTAGGATATGCAACATAGTTGCCATAATATTTTTAATGTTTTTAATCAGATAAGTGAAATAAACTGTTACTTTCAATTTATACTTCAGCATTCAGTTTTCTGTCTTCATGAAACACTTAGCTGTGCACATCAGTTAGGACCAGTTTTCAGGATTTCATGGGACAGTGTCAGCTGAGAAACAAGACATTTCTCAAACTATGTTTTTAACCATGATATTTGTGCTTGATCCAAAGTACACTGAAGCTGGTAGAGAGACTCCCCTTTAATTAGGTATTGTCAACTTCTCATAATTTTGCATTGAGCTGTGAAGGCTTGCCTCCCCATTATTTACCAGTTTAATCAAGTAATGCCCCAGTAACACTGTTAACTTAAGCATGCTGCCAGGTATTGCTTTAACTACATGGGACACATACCTAAAGATTTAGCAGTCAGATCCTGATAAAGAGCAGTGAAGAGAGTCTTCTAGAGCCACGTATTACAGATTTTACAGAGTTTCTATGTATTTTGATGAACAGCAGTGAATCAAGTGCTTTGAGGCATCCACATGCTTCATTTTTTTTTTTTATGAAAACAGCTTTGTGTGTTGTTACGTTGTGTTAGCACTATTTTATATTATTTACGTAAGTACATAAAATATTAACTGTTTAGGAAAGAGTATACCGCAGCTGTTTTGAAGAGCAGCAATTGCAAGAAGGCCTTGGGTGTTTTTTTTAAGAGAATAATCCTACCAGACTTTGTTTTCGATGTAAATGTAACCGTTGATCTTAATATAAGAAGAACACTTACTATAGAATGGCTATACTTGTCTTTTCAAAGGTGGTTAAAAAATTGTATGTTTAATAAAATTTGTTTTATTTAGAGAAGAACAAAATTAAATCCAATAACTAATAAGGGTTTTACAAGGCTAATCAACTCTTCCAAAGGTTTCTTCTTATCTTACATTCTTAAGAAAATGTTTCTTGACGAATCTGAGTACATCCTGGAAATTATCGTTGTGTCAAAATAGGATTGGGGATTTGAATGTGTGGGTTGCTACATTGGTTTTCTAATTTATCTTAAAATAAAACAAACTCTGACTGCATCTTGGGAGAAAATTTTACTATGCTAAAATAATACCTTTAGAAGACAAGTGCTTTACTGGGCAATAGGAGGAAGGAAGGACCCCAATTCTACAAAAACTGTTGTTTTTTTCTTGGAAATAAGGATTTTTGAGATCTGTTTAATGTTGGAAGAGGAAAGATTACTGTTTGTTTGGGGTTTTTTTCTTTTTACTCAATAAGGGCAAAAACTTTAAAAAATAGCTAAGTTGTATAGATGACATTGCTTGCATTTAAGCAGGAAAGAAAATGTGAAGACGGCAAAAAGTCCCTTCATGATTAAAAAGATAAACAATTTCCAACTGTTACACATTGTTATCGGCTATAGTTCTTCTACAAGCAATAAAATTAGTGAAACCTTACAGTCAATAAAGGTCTACAGTAAAAAAGAATAAGCTAATACATGTTTTTAACAATAGTGGAAAAAATGGTTTGGGTGCATCTGTACTTCTTTTTTAGAAGGAGTTCTACTGTATGTCCATCCTAGATGAATATGTATTTTTTTCAGTGTTTTTTTACAGCAAAAAGATTTAACTTGCAGTAACTGTTAAGTATGCCGATTCAGCTTGGATTCGGAGAGCTAGACTGGTGCAGGACATGGTGTGGAGTTGTGTGTTTGAGAAGATCTGAAGTCAGACACATGTTTCGGGTGACTCCTGCTTGATTTGCAGGCTAGTGTAGAGCTGAAAGAGCAGAAACTACTAAGAAATATATTGGCGCTTTTTTTTTCCTTTGAGAAGTGTTTGGTTTTAATCTGACCTTTCACATCTCTGCTAACATCAAACATAGTCTATCCAGTATGAGCACAATTATACTTTCTGTAGTCCAGCACTCAAACAGCAAACTTACTTAGATTGTCATCATAAACTTTGCTGGGATCTTACAAGGGTCCTGTTTGTGTAGCATATCCTGTGTAGCACGTCCTGTATTGCTGTTGAGGAGGGTTTGCAGAGTTACCAAGTTGTCCCTCCATGAAAATTATATACTCTGTGTCACTGATGTGGTAGAGTTGGAGCTGGAACACTGGTTGCTGAACAGACCGTGATAAAATTCCCTGGTAGCTGTCAGTAAAAAAAAAAACAAGTATGCTTTTGAATATAATACAATACATTGCTTTTACTGAAATTGGGTAGCCCTCATCTAGGATCAAGACAGGTTTTAATTACTGTGTCTTAATTTAGAGGATTTAGGGGACAGGATGATTTTTAAAGAGGTTTTGTTGGGGTTTTTTCCTTGTTAATTGAACATAATTGGTATGTGTTTGGGGGCTTCATGTTAACTGTTTACATTTTCCTTAGTGATTCCTCTGAGCTCTACATGTGCAGAAAAAAATGATAGCATGGTTCTTTCCAATTTATCATTACTAGTTATAAATTACTAGCAGTTTCTTTCTAGGGAGACTGTAGTTTCTTTCTAAAGGTGAAGATTAAAGTTTTTAATCCTCTGACCTGTTGAAGTAAAGGAAGTAATACCTGTTTAATTTCAGTCAAATGGATTAGAACTGGATTCAGTAATTAGTAAAGTTTCTATGCCATAAACATTGGTGAAGATAAATTACTGAATTCTTTTATTAACAAGAACATTGTAAGCGTATGACAGGTTATTAGAAGGAGAAGAATGCGTGTATAATATATTTAGTGTTACCAAATTAAGTTTTCTTTATGCATTGATTACTGATAATTCTTTAAAGTTAACTTACTTTATAAATTTTCTGAGGACTGCAGAACCGCTTTTCATATCCTGGCTATTTACCCAGGTGCGTTGATGTATGGACTCTATTTAAACCTTTAGTATTTTTGCTTTAGAACTTGCTTCCATTTATAAGCTTTTTCTAACTGAACATAATTCTACTTCTTCCATTTAAGGTGATCCATATTTAAACAAAAAAGTCTATTTCTTACCACTTGATATGAAGAATAGAAGAATTATGAATTTGTGAACATTCTGTTGTTCAAAAAAGTAGATTGGCATTTAGGTTTTATAGCTCTCAATGTATTCCCACCTACTCAAACATAAAATTAAATATCGTGGCCCTGATGAAAAGCAGCAGCTCTGCATTGCTGATGTAAGGGACAATATCAGTAGACTACATTTGGGATTTTTTTTTTTTTTATCACTGCATAGTTTAAATAAATAAATCCCCCAAGTAGTAGGAGTTCGATTTACAGACGTTTGATTCAGGGTGGTAGTCCTTAAGTTCAAAACTGTTTCCTCTTATCAGAAATGGCTGTATTGTTTCGTGTGCTGAAAGAACAATTGTGGGTTTATTTTTAATTAATCCTTAAGTTATTTAGTAATGAATCCAGCAAGTCCTATGTGATACTGTTGGCTACTCAAGTTAGTAAAAGTACTTGTTGCCTTGAACTAGGTTTCACATTTTTACAAGTCAGAGCATTTTTAGGACCCAAGACCCTGATGGAAAGTCTTTATGTGATCGCTTGTTGATATGATGCTGTTAAGATGGTTTGAAACCTTTGTAAACTCAGTTAGCAACAGGAGACGTGGCGGGGGGTGTGGAAAGGCAGTGATTTGCCTGTTACGCTGATCCTGTATCATTTAAGTTTAAATGCGTAGAACTTGAAGTGGAATTTCCTAGATGGCAGATGTTGTGAGTTGTCTTCTGTGTTTTGTGTAAGTTGGGCAAATGTTCACTAATAGATCTGTGCTCAAAGGGAAGAGATGCTCACTGAACCTTTTTGTTCTGTTAGATCTGTTAGATCATAAAGATTTTCTGTCATGATTAGGAATGGCACACAAATTCCAAATTTGATCATCCTTCTGGGATGTCTTTGCTGTGACTCCTTGGTGAAGTTTTCTCTGCTTCCAGATTCTAGTTTTGATGCCTAAGTCGGGTCTAAGTGACACAATCTTAAGTTTCTACTGCAAAATACATGAATTCAAAGTAGTAAATACCTAAACGCTTGTTTGTTTTATTGCTAGTAATACAATGAAGTGCATTGACTACAAATTTAAATACTTGGGAGATGGCTTTGGACACTTAGTTACTTGATGTTTCTCTGGTTTGGGAAAATTTAACTAAAATGATATATTAAAGGCATGCATTGAAGGCCAACAGTACTTACTTCTTACATGCCTAATACATATTTGCTGTTTTTCTGCTCTTTGCTCGTTAATACTTCTTCATGTTTGCCATTTTGGGAGGCTTTGAAAACTGTTCTTTATAGTTTTAAAGCTGTTCAAAGTGCTGACAACTCTACCGTCACATTCCCTGCTATCAAACAGAAGGGGAATGGAGCAGATTCTGACTGGTTCTTAATTTATAAGAAACAAGTTGCAGTGCTCCTCAAATAGTGTTTCCTGGTGGTCTTGGTGATACTTTTGAGTCTTTTATATTTGTGGATCTAAACAACATTAGGAGTCTTGTGCTCAGCTAGTAGTACTACTAGTAATACTACTACTCAGTAGTAATAATGGCTCATGAGATGGCTTCTTTTTAAACTTTTCCATCGGTATAAGTTTCTTAACATCTTTAGTTTGTAGTTATAGAAGAAGGAAATACATGTTGAGGAAATCTGCACTGTCTAATTGTTCAAGTATTTCTAGTTGTTACGTAGTAAGATGCATTCTAAATTTTAAAAAGCAAGAGAAAGTGAAATCGGAATGGAGTCTAGTGATATTATTTATTCTGTGTCTCCAGTGTGCTGTTTGCTTTTCATAGAAACAGAATAGATAGTTTCTGTTCAGAACAGTTTGTTTCGGGGTGGAAAAAGGGACTTTAGCCAAGGATCTTTATGCTTTCATGCAGAAATTTATAAACTGGCAACAGAACTTGTACTCTCAATGAAAAATTTTCACAGAATTGATCCAGTTTACAAGCTTCTGAAAATCATTGTTTTCACATAGCAGATTTTTTAGATGTTTTTGGCCAAAATATGAGCAGATTGCATTTTTACTAATAGAAATGCATGACTTTAGCACCATACTGTCATTCAGCAACTTTTGATAGCAAGGAGCATTGTGATTCTGGGCACTGGCTCAGAAAGAAGTGAAACTGTGCATCTATTTCTCTCGTTGGCACCATATCTGTATTCTGATCTGCAACATGTAGAGAAGATGTTAAGAAAATTTCATGGAGATGCTTGTGAAAAGATATACTGGGGGTAGGGAATACAAGAGCAAGATAAGACACAAAAGCTGGCTAAAAAATGGAATATTATGTTTAAGACTGCAGGGGCACAGCAAGAGGTGAACACGAGGGGGGACTACAACTACAGAGGAGGAGAGGAAAAAATATGCCAAGAAAGCTGTAGCTAGAGCAGTCTAATCGCAAAATAAGCCCATGCTCTAAAACACAAGGTCCTTAAAATCCTCTGCTATTTAGTGGGTACTGCTACAACCCATAGTAAAATGGCCATGACCTTTTTTAATTTTGTGCTTTTTGAATCCAAAAGGGACCTGAGCCTAAAATATTATGCAGCAGTGCGTGAAATGAAGATGAATTATGGTTGCAGGGATACAAATGCTTAACGTAGCAACATGCATTTATGCAGAAGCATTTTAATCTACCATTTCACAAAAGAGGATCAAAATTTGGAATAGGTTGCCCAGGGAGGCGTCAGCCTTGGAATTAAGGAGAACTTGACTGGACCGAGCAACATAAAAGAACTCTGAAGTTGGCTTTGAGTAGGGACCAGATGTCCTCCAGAGACCCCCCCTTCCAGCTTGACTTATATCTCAACATTTATTTGATGAAAGAACACTTAGTTTTTTTCTTCATTGTTGGTAGTCTTGTTGTTCATTTAAAAATTAACATGTGTATCACATTTACAGCCATCTCTACATGCCATACATGCATCGGGCTGTTAATGCCTTTATTCCAAATCAAGGGAAAGTCTTGGGATCTTATTGACTCGTCAAAAATAATAATTTACAAATTGTATTATGTGAGTTCACTGGATTGGATGTGCTCTATGTCCAGCCATTTAAATGAAAAGATCAGCAGGGGACAGATACAGATCAGCACAGGTTGTTGCACTTAATTACGTATGGACAAAGTTTAGAAGAGCGCATACCCAGTTGACACAAGAGTTCTAGCCAGTATCCTCTCTTTGGCAATGGCCAGAAGCAGATGCAATGGGAAAAATTTAAGAGCAGGGAAAACATACATGATACTTCTTAATATTTTCCCAAACTCCAAAGATGCAAACCAGGAACTTTGTGGGATAGCTACTGTTTCATGAATTTACTGGTTTACCAAGAAATTCTCACTCACAAGTTTATCAGGTTTCCCTTTAAATCCATGTTAAATTTTAGCATCCACAGTTCCATTTAACAAGGTCAGAAGTTCAATCACAGTGTGCCTTGACTGCATCACTTTGGAATATGTTAGGTAATTTGACATGCTAGCTGACAAGTGCTAATGTAACACTTAAATTCTATGAAACAAAGTGAGATAAAAGTAGAAAAAGTGATTTATCCGAGCCCATCACCAGAAAGAGTCATATTGGACAAATACCGGAGAATCCAACAGTCTTAAAGAAAAGAAAAAAGAATTCTAATAAGAGATTGAGAAGTGAGGGGAAAAAACAACGCCAGACTACTCTTGAAGACAGCAAGAAAACCAGTTGTTCATTGTTGAAATTATTTCCTGCAATTATGAAACAAGTTTTCTAAGTAGTAATTAAACTGAGAACACCTAATGAAAAGCAAGGACTTGAGGACCAGAATTTACATGTGAATAAGCAGATCTGTGATTATGCTTACTGCAGCTTAATTTCAGCATGCATTTGTCTCTGCCATTCACTTCATACTACAAGTGAAAAATATGGGAGTGGAAAATGTTTGTGGGTTGTTTTTGGGTTTTGGTTGGTTTGGTTTTTTTAACCTTTCCACTGAACATACCTAGTGGTTAAATATTGAAAACCAATGAAAATGTTCATGGCTTCTGATAATCTTTTGTAAGCCATGTTGCTTAAACCGTCCATGGTAATTTAAGATTTTCATTTTCTGTGTAGACTGTTAGTTTGGACATAGTAAATATGTGATAGCTCTCTTATTTGGACACTTGCAAAGAGAAACAAATGAGATACAAGAGTTTCAACCAGTACCTTCTCATCAGCAGTTTTTCAGGTGGCCAATATGTTTGGTGTTATTTTGGTATAAAATAAATTGTATTGTCTGTATACAAAGACTAAAGTCTTGTTTTCATTTGTTCCATAAAGTGGCAGAAGGGGCTTCTATGCTAGAACAGTTACCTCATTTTCTGTTACACAGATCTGATGGTCAGGTAGTATATAAAATACGTATTTTAGGACAGCTCATTATCATGATTTTATTGGATAGTTTGTTGTCATTTTGCAATTATGCCACTGATAACAACATATTTAAAGAGGAATAGTTGGCACATTTCAAATATGGAAAAGTAAATATTATAACCCGTTAGTTAAAAACAAATCGGATAGATTGATACTGTGATGTACAGTGTAATCTTTAAATCTGAACAAAGAGATAATTGGTGCTTTTTCATTAGGATTTAAGTAATTTTTTCAGCACAGTGTTGGTTCTTAATGAATTCTGAGAGGTTCTGAGATTTCCTACAGATAAAACTACCGGGTTTTGAACACAGCTTCTCTTTTTTACCTTTTTTTAAAGGGCAAAAGGATTCATGCAATTCCCTCATTTTTGCCATTGAACGACTTATTTAAACATACTGGTTTTGCATGTCAGACAGTTTTGAATGATTTTAGATTGTTGTCCATAGCTAATTTTTTGAGTAAAAGTAAGAGAAGATGTATTTTGCAGTGATAAATCATTTATGATAAAACATTTGCTGTCGTCATCTGCAGACGGTATTTATGCTAACTTTGTATAGTTTACCATTGTAGTTTAGTTGAAATGTTGGATTGTGCATCTCTCTTGCTCATTTATAGATTTAAAATATGTATGATACAGAGGAGTTTGTGATAGTAAGGTAACTGCTTGCCTGTAGAGAAACTCAGTAACAGTAATAGAAAATACTGTCTACTGTAAAGCTGTAGCTTTTGGTTTTGAGACTTATTTTTCATTTTTCAGACAGTGGTGCTTCCTAAGTTTTATATTAAGAAGAATATGGGAATTTCTCATGGCTGTGGTGTTATTTTTAATCTTAAAGTTAAGTAGACTAGTATATGGCATCCACTTAGATGTTGGGTTATTTTTCCTAACAGAAAGCTAATCATCACACTGGGTAAAAAGCAGAAAAGAAAAAATGAATCTTCAGATGAATTGTCTGATGCTAAGCAGACTCCACAGCGGCCGTTGAAAGATGAAGACTCACAGGTAAGTAGTCAGAATTTTTCCCTTTGATTTTGTATGTGGTTTTATTTCTACAGGTCTCTTTTCCCCTCTCTCCAAAAAGTTACACTCCTTTTGACACAGTGACAGTTACTCTTTCACTGCTGTGTCTCTCTCATTGGTAGAACCGTACATTATCAGCTACTTTTCCCACTTGAAAATCAGAAAATCCTACATGTTTGTGTCCCCTTTCTGTAAATGGGATATCAGTACCCTCCTTGTATCTGTTTCATTTCAGTACAGAAGTCCATAGATTTAAGACTTCAAGTACTTATCTATTGAGCTGGCAGTTAGGCGTGATCCTTACTTTGGCTGACTTCGTGGGGAAAATGCAGATACTGCCTAACAGAAGGGACATTTATTAGTGAAACTGGCTCTTTGAGAACATTTAAAAGACTTGTTTCAAACTTTACTGTTTTTTCTGAGCTCTGCTTCTGTAGAAACTGAAAGAATTGGTTTCTTGCTTTGCTGGATCTGAAGGGGAGCTATGATCAGTATGCTGACAGGCTCAGGTTGCTTGTGGAATACTTCTGAAGAAAGTGCCAGATGAAGAATTCAAGTGGTGGAGTCATTCCCTTGAGGAGTATCTCCCTTGTAACTTACTTTCTGCAGTTTTTTCATATATTCCCCTAGTATTATAGTAGCGCAGCTAATTATTTACAAAACTTATGCACAAAGAAGTATGAACTGTTTGTAAGAGATTGTATCATATTTATGCATGTGTTAGTAACAGAATTATAACTTGCTTTAGGGCAGACTCCATTAAAAGTAAGATTATATGCTTGAAATGCACAGGTTTTTATCCTGTGGCAATTTCATCCGCAGAGATTAGATCAGTAGTCAAAATAAGGTGTTGTTGAGTTAAACTTAATTGCATTATTTGATGACAATGTCAGAAAACAATTACGACATACTGAGTTGACCTTTATTATTTCAGAGATAGTAATGCTGGGGGGGTGGGGAGGGGGGGAAAGGATCAGAAGCCATTTCCCAGAATGGCTTTTTATTAACTTAAGTGATAGCTTGTCTTAAGTAAAGGTTACCTGGAAGGGAATATGGAATTATGTATTTCTCAGGGATTTTATGTTGGTGTAGAAAGTCCATTTAGTACACTGAAGGAAGTGAAAGCAGATTTGGTGGTTCTGAAGTACTGCAACTTATCAATAGTGTTCTGTAATCAGATAGGGATAAATTTGTAGGCCAACAAGTATCATACACAAGACTGAAGATAGTATCTTTTTTCTCATGGCTTTTGATTTTTTGGATATTTGATTTTTTAGCATGACAAGGGTCATCTTCAATTCTGTTGTGGATAGACAGGGAGTATCATCAAATTGCACGGTCCTGGTGTGACGGGAACAGAGGGTACAGATAATAAGGGGTGGCATGGCATCAAAAAAAACTATACTGCAGAATGTCACAGCACTGCCTTGTCTGTCTTTGCAGGAGTTTGGGAGAAACATCACAGGAAAGACATAAGTTGTTTTACTTCATTAATCCATTCTCTCTATAGTTTTCAAACATTTTCATGATTTTCTTTTCCTATTGCGAATAGCTGTCTATTTCTAAGCTCTGGGGGGCAATTTTCAGTCTTTTTTTTCCCTAATTCATTTTGTATGCTTAGTTTCACAGTAAGCATCTTCCTTAAATACATTGATTTATTTCTTGGAAAAATGTGTGGTACTACTTTATTTTGTGCCTTAGAGCGTTTGTTTATGACCATGCTTCTCCGTTCAGGGAAATACAAAGGGTGTTTTTTCAAATAACTCAGGTTGTATATTAATATGTTGGAGAACATACCTCTGTTCGTGTTTTGTTAATCGCTTCATACTTTGACAAAAGACATAGTGAGAAGGATTGAAAATGCCAGTTAATGCCTCATTAGGTTTTGAAAAATTCATCAAATACTTAATGAGTAAAACTTGAACCTGGTTCTTAATACTTCTTTTCCGATTTCATACACCGTTTTGCATTGCTCCTATTAGCTGGCTTTTTTTTTTTTTTAAAGCTGCTTCTGTCAGCAAACTATTGTTGATTTAGCTATAATGTGACAAAAATGTCACATTAATGTGTCGGTTTAAATATGAAGTTTCTTTTGTGCTAGCACCCCACCCTGCACACACTCACTTTTTATTGAAGAATAGCTAATCTGGCTACATTATTGTGGAAAGCTGATTGAGTAGTGTCATACATGCACTATTCCATATTCTCCAGAATGGTGATGCCCATTCTTTGATTTTTATTGTACATGTAAAGTTACTACTCTACCTTAGTGAAATACTTGTAATGTAGTTGTTAAAGTATAGCCAGGTCTTTGCCAGGAACCAAGAGCAGAATTTAACAGTCAGGAAGAAAGTTCCTGTGCTGTAATCTTACTGTTACTTAGTATCTGCTCTGCAGAGGCCAGTATGACCACAGGATTTTGGATTTTGTTCTATTTACAATTTGTTCTTCTCCCAGCTGATTACGGCACTGTATCGCAACCAGCAATGGATTTTCCTAAACAAAAATAAGCTTTACTGTGTAGCTTAATTTAATTTGTTTTATAGAGACTGTTTTTCTTTGCTGATTTTATTTCTGGGATGATCAGTTCTCTAAAGCAAATTGCAATGTTTTCAAATGTTAACTGACTAGTCTGATTCTGCTATCATTGTTTATCCAATGGACGTATGAATTAATCTTACGGTTGAATATGCAGTGTCTCTTTTATTGGTACTAAGGGGGGTAAAGGATATGCAATATCCTAATAATCTAAGTATTTGAAACTTAAAAGAGTGAGTGAGGAGGAGTTATTTTCTTAGACTGAACATTTTTTCTCCAACTGGAACTCGTCATCCCCAGATACTTGCAGAAGCAAGAGTGGGAGATTAGAGACATAAACTGCAAAGTAAGCCAAATGCTGCCGTTAAACAACCTTGATTTAAGGTGGAGGAGAAAACAAATACATTAACAAAGCAACAAATTTTATTACCTGTCAAATCAGACTTCATCAGCAATCTGACCAATATGATCTAATGAAAATCTTCATAATTTTTGTGTATAGCACTGTTGTTAAGTAGAGATACTTCCGCATATTTTGTGTCTTTCACTCAGGTTCTTGAATCAGACAGTAACACACTGCTGTTACTCTGCCTTATGAAATTGCTGTTGAAATACTGATGCTTATAGGAGATAGGGTATATATCAGCTTTGTTCTGTACCCTGAAAATACTGTTCTATGTTTGCTTTTGAACTCTAAAAATAAAAGCACGTGAAACGGGGGAAAAAATATTAATTGATCGAAAGTAGTATATGGCTACTTCTGTCCCTTTGGTTCATGTGTTAATATGCTTCATGTTTTCTATCAAATGTTGGCCTTTGGTTTTAGACACCGCTAGAGTGTTGCTTAAAGTGTCCCAAAACTTGCAATTCACATTAGAGAAAGTTTTTGCTAAAACCTCTATTTTTACTCTCCTGCATGCAGAAGAGAAGATCAAATCGTCAAGTTAAAAGGAAAAAATATGCTGAAGAAGGAGAAGGCAAACAATCAGAAGAAGAAGCTAAAGTATCTGTGAAAATCAAAAAGAATTCTGCCCCTTTACCTGCTGAACAGCCTTTACAATTATTTGTGGTAAGTAAAAACTGGCTTGGTCTTTTTTTGAAATGGAACTTTCCATTTGTCTCAAAAAGTTCAGTCAATAAAGCTCATAACATAAATACATTATTATTACTAAGCCAGACTTTATTTAATGTGGCACCTTGCTAAGGTTTTCAAAACTGGAAGAAATGGCTTATTAATATTTTTTCTTTTCTGTTCTAAACGTTTGTTGACTTAACTGAAGTTGAGGGTAAGCCTAAGGATAGGTATATCTCAAATAATGTGTTATGCTGCATAGACATATGAAGAAGCTGTATGCTAATGTTACCGTGACTTCCGGAAGTGTAAAATTAAATGAGTCTCTGGGGTTCTCTGCTTTTAGACGTTTTGAAAAAGAATACTCCTCCCTTTTTTTCCCCGCTTCACATTCACACATCACTGTTTCAACTTACGCCAGCTCTAGTAGTCAAACTTAGTGTTGAGCTATTATAGATACATAAAGTGGCAAGAAAGAAACAGAAAAAAGTGTTTGTGAGACGTTTGAAGGAGTGCCAAAGTTGTAAGGAAAGGAGGAAGATAATACAATTGGGAACGAATCAGACAAGAGGGAAAGTGACCTTTTTATTGGAAGCAACCTTTAAAGATTGGCTCTTTATCTCTGGAACCACAGCTTCAATCTTGGCAGAGCTAAGTAATCCCATTTCTGTGTCATACCTAAGCCCTGCTGGAATTCCGAGGCATGACCTTGTCTGCCTGATTTGACAGCATGTTTGTTAACTATGTTCAGAGTAAAACTATTAAATTGGGTTTGACACATGCTGGTTTTGTTTTTACTAATTTTTTTTTCACCTGTCTGCCAGAGTTCTTATTTCTCCATATCTGTGTAACAAAATTCTGGGTATGCCCACTGCATCAGATCAACTCAACAGGGCATTCACGGTGAATTTGCGTCTGGAAGGCATCAGAATCACCATTGCTTGCACTGTAAGGGTGTTTGGCAGGTGAGCATCGCATCTGATGCTCTTTAGAAGTGCCACACTTAGTGTACCTTTGTATGTGTTTCTCTCAGGTTATAGACCGGGATTTTAAATTTTACTCCAGACTGTTAAAAGAGAATGCTACTGGTAGAGGTCAGATTTGCCTTTATTGTTATCTTTTAACAAGTCACTTGTGTTCGAGGGTTTTAAGCCTAATCAGTTTGAAGAGAGGGAATTTACTGCAATTTATAATGTCATTGTTTTCATGCATTTACAGGAAAATCCAAGTGAAGAAGATGCAGCAATTGTAGACAAAATCTTATCCTCCAGGGTAATAAAGAAAGAAGTAAGTGATTGACAAGGGATGAAGTTGCTTGTTTGGAAAAGGGGTTTGTATCTAGCATTTTACATTTCCTCTGAATTTCCTTTCCTAGATGTCTGCTGGGATGACAGTAGAAACAGAAGAGTTTTTTGTAAAATACAAGAACTAGTAAGTACTAAAAAGTTGTTTCATTGTAGGTGTTGACTGAAATAAGTACCATACTCATGTACTAAAGTTTTGTATTGTTTGGAGATTACTTATAACTAGATTTTGTCATCTTGTGAGGTTTTCTCTTTACAAATTTAATCTTAAAATTGCTAAGAATCTGCAGTATATTGTTAGTAATAATTTAAAACTCATCAGTATTGTGAAACCCTCACTGACCAATAAGCCGACAGCCATTATTGCCAAAAGAACAGTACTTTTAGAGAAGATCTATTTATTAAATTCAGCATGGGCTACATGCCTGAGGCTAATTTTAATTTCATTAATTTAAATCTGAGCTATTTTCTGAACCTAGATTAGATTTACAGTGTCATACATTTAGGAGAAGTTGATGTAGGAGTCAATCTTACTGTTGTAAAAAAACAACAAAACCTCCTTACAATAGAAATGATTTTACATCAGAAGCAGGAAGTAAGAAAAGAATGAAGGAGAAGAAACTTTTTCCGTATTTTCTTGTTTTAAATTTCATTCTTCTCTTCCTGTCGCTACTCAGTTCCTGATGTTGAAAATGCAAGCACATTTTAAATTTTACGTATGTGATAAATTTTACTAGATTCTTGCTAATAAATGTCATTTTTTTGATGCTCTGGATTCACATGTTTCTGGAGACCATTTAGCTCTTATTTTCTGAAAGGGTAAAGTCTATCTTTTCATCCGAGAATGAGTGATACCCAGGAATGGCTCTTTATTTTTAGCATATCTTTGGAAAGTTTAAAAAATGATGAAAATACATTAAAAAGGGGGTGTGAGGAAGAACTATAGGTACTTCTGTCACAGCAATCTAACTTCAGAAAGGCTCACTTGGGGTGCAGTTAGATGGTGTAGGTAGTTGTGCTCATGCTTCCTCCTTCCTTTGACTGTTACTTCGTGCTTCTCTCCCAACCCAATCTGATGGCACGTTCCTTTTTGCCATGGGCTCTGGTGCTCCTCACTGACCTTTTAATGTGCTCAGCTATATAGTTCAGCAGTACCTGTGAAGAGATGTTCACCTGAAGTACATGAAAAGATTAGATCCAATATATTAAGTACTTGATATCTCTGGGTACTTTCTGATAGAGGTGTCAGATTCTGAACTTGTTTTATTTAAGGTCACTTTAAATACACTTGTTTCTCTTCTTAAGACACATGAAAGACATGTGTGAATCCATAGAGTTCTATGGATGCTAGCCCAAAAACACTGCCTTAACTAGATGCTGTGAGATGATAATTTGGAGGAATAAATCTTTGATGTTTACAGTGAATTCAGTTTTAAATGAGAAAATGTTCTTTTTTGAGTGAAAATAGGAAAATATGAACCTGAAAATTATAAAATATATAATCTTAACTGCATATTAAAAATAGATTGTAAGCTTTTGCTTTCACTAATATGTTAATCTCTGTAATTGTAGCTCTTATCTCCACTGTGAGTGGGCCACAGAACAACAGCTTTTAAAGGATAAAAGAATCCAGCAAAAAATAAAACGATTCAAACTAAGGCAAGCACAAAGAGCTCACTTTTTTGCAGATGTGAGTATGAAGTATACCATTAAATAAGCTTTTTTCCCTTGTAAAATTGTGGTTAATAGTTCGCTTTTAATTAGTATAGATGAATGTTGACAAGTAAAGATGAGTCATCGGGGTTGGATTTTTGGTTGCAGTAGGGGATTGGTTGGTTAACGTTATTTTAAGAGTCACAACTAACCTGACTTGCATGCTGTAAAATTGGGATTGTTTGGGTAGCTACTCAAAAGCATCAGGGAGGAAAAGATTGTGTTAGTATGGCTAGTTTGTCTATTATGTCTTTCCCAAGACAGCACTTCATCCTGAAATGAAATTCAGTTTTCTATTCTAATGTCAGGTCCCCCTTCAGTGCCAGTTGCCCCAGGAAGAATGGGGCGGATTTTAACGTGTCTGCAAAAGCCTCCATAGTTTCCAGTTGCCAAATTAATTTTGTGTACAATGAGACGAAGTCTTAGCATATACCAGCTTTTTTTGCCTCTCTACTGATTTTATTAATCTTGCATTGCAGATGGAAGAAGAACCTTTTAATCCTGACTATGTTGAAGTAGATCGGGTATTAGAAGTATCTCTTTGTGAAGATAAGGACACTGGTGAGGTAAATATAACTTAAAGCAAGTCAGGAAGATACACCTCAAAGCAGTGTTTGATAATCGTTATTTTAGCAGATTTCAGAGTAACACCTTAATGATTTTAAGCTTCAGTAATATTTTTTGAGACATGACAGTCTTGTTAATTCCTATGCTATGTATTTTGCTATTTCCTAGCTATGTATTTTGAACTAGAAATCAGAGTTCAGTGGCTTATATTTTTGTTAGTATTAATAGGTCATAGTAGGTAAAGCCTAAGTAGTTACTGACATAAGTGCGAGGTGTGATAATTGCCTTGCGAGTCCCGACAGAAGGCTGATGGCATATACTGTCCTGTCTCTCTGATAGTGACATGGGGTCACTGTTGAAAAAAAGCACAAGAAAATGGGGCAGCGGTGGTTCCTTCTTCCTCTCATAACTGTCCCTAGGCTTTAGGCAGGTGATGATCGAGAGGTGTTTTGGTAACCACCAGGGGACCTTTCCCTCTGCATTTATCAAAACTTCTTTTAACGTAAAGTACCTCTTCTGGAAAGTTATTACAGAACAAAAACATGAGATTAGAAAATAAAACAAAACCAAAACAAATAAACAAAGAAAAACGCTCACAAAACAGAAAAGCAAATCAAGCAAATAAATTCCCAAAATTCAGAAAGAGTCTGAGGCAAGCAGGGAACAAAGACTGACGAAGTTATTGATTAAGGCTTTTTTGATAGCTGTTCATCTAGATAGCAAAGTGAGCAGACTTTTACCCAGTGATTTCTGCATTAATCTTCCCAAAGCAGGGTTGAGGGTTAAAATTACTTTTCATTGTATGCAGCAAATAAGTTGTTATTACATTTTAGAAAAAAATGTGTTGTTGTCATAAGACTTTCCCCCAACTTCTTGAAAGAGGACTTTTTCTTTGGTTTTTAGTTATTTATTTACTGAATCTACATAAAATAATCTTCTTTGGTTCCATCTTCTGAGACTTTTCCTAAATTTCTAAACATATGGTGCCCAGCAGACCTGTACAGCTTTCTATTTTGTTGAGAAGACCTCTGTTTTAGGAACTTTGTCAAGCTCTTTGTTTTAGGCTTAGGTAGCCTGATTGGGAGAGTCGAGGAAATGTTCTGGGTAGCACCTTTGTAGTCAATTCTGCCCCCACCCCGTTTCCCCAAACAAATGCAGTAATTTATCTTTCCTGAGACTAGGATTTACTTGTGGGTAAGTGGGATTGAAACAAACTCCAGGGGTCTACAACAAGTGGCAGAGTATGAGAAGCCAAGGATAAGTAGGTAGTTAACAAGAATCTTCACCAAACATTTTATAAAGGATCAGAAATGCGCTTTTGTTTCCAGCTCTCATGTAAGCTAGCTACTCAAACAGTAAGGCATATTAACAGTCTGTATACTAAATTAAAAGCTGATAACATTCAGAATTTTCTTCTGCAGCCTGTTATTTACTATTTAGTAAAATGGTGTTCATTGCCATATGAAGACAGTACGTGGGAGCTGAAAGAAGATGTAGATCAAGCAAAAATAGAAGAATTTGAACAATTGCAAGCTTCCAGGCCTGACTCAAGGAGATTGGTAAAATTATACCTAATTTACTTGTCTGTCTCGGCAAATTGGATTTGGTCTTCCCAACGTTAAACTTTTGTGTTAAAACATAAGGCTTATTGACATTCTGTGTAAAGGATCTGTGTGCCTTGTTACCTAGCAATAATAACACTTTCAGGTAGGCATAGATAAATCACAGAATCATAGGGTTGAAAAGGACCTTTCAAGGTCCTCAAGTCTATCCCCCCTGCAGTGAGCAGGGACATCTTCAACTAGATCAGGTTGCTCAGAGAGTCATAAATATTCTCATCTAATTTGTTACTCTGTTTAAAAAAAAAAAAAAAAAAGGAGAGAGAATTTTTGTTTAGGAAAAAGCATGTAGTGCTGTAACTTTCTGAGTGTCTGACTGATGAGCAATACATTGAAACTGGCTATCACAGAATCTAAACACCATTAAGATGAGGAGAAAACAGAATAAAGTATAAACATCCTTTTATAGAGAACAGGGTTAAGTCTTGTGCTTCAACACTGAAGGAAATTGGCAAATGAGATCTGTCAAACGGATTCCGTAATTACTTCCTGCTTTTATTTTTCTTCTTGCCATAAAAGGGGTAGTTGAAAAGAAGAAAAATACATGTAATAAGGAAACGTGTTTTGTCTTTAAATTATCAGTCTTCTGTATCATAGAGCAGGAGAAAACAAAATAGTTTTATTTTAAGTCCTGTATGTCATTGTCAGAGTAAGACGTGTCCTGCGTGGTATAGTACAGGACTTGTTCTAACTTATTTATTTTACGTAACTGAATATGCACAGTGTTTTAATTGGTAGGCTTTGGACTTTATTTTAGTGGTTTTTTTTTTAATCTATAGATAGTGACAGCAGTCGTGATTAACATCTTTGTATTATATGTAGTTCATTTTTCTAGTATTTATTTAAAATCTTGACATTTTGGCATGTGGGAAGAAGGGCTTTTATACCTCTCCATTACTGTATTTGGCTTTGAGAGAAAAAGATAATTAAAGCACAACTGTACAACTGACAGTCATCTTAGCATCAGCAACAAGTATTTTTTGTTCCAGGCTCCAGCAAGTACAAGGAAGTATTTGCTGACTGCAGCTCTGCGAGCCGGAGCGTGGCTGCTCCTGGTGTGAGGGAGTGGACAGATGGTTGCTTGTGGGTTAGGGGAGGAAGCCACAGCTGCTGGGGCGGGACAGCTACTGCTGCTCTGAGACCTGGTGTCAGGTGATGCTGATGTTGGCAAAAAAGAGATAAAAAATTCAAACCTAAAATTCAGAGCTGCCAGATAAGGCCACATGAGTCTAGAGTGAATGCAAGCTTTTATAAATACTAAGAAATGTAGGGAGGGTGGGGGAGGTACAGCTGATCAGAAAAGCTCTTACTAAAAATATTTTTCTTGAATGTGTCAGTTTGTTCATGTTGGGATGCAGAAGCTATCCAAAGAGAGTGTTTTCTGCTGGAATCCTACCTAGTATCAGTCAAAACGATCATGATTTCTTGGCTGAGTTGCCTGCTAAGCTGATGGCCAGCCTGATGAGTCTCCAGGCTTGGGAACTAGTGTGTGTGTTTGCGTGTGTGTGTGTATATATTTTTAAGCATAGCCTCCCAGCTTTCCTTTAGCTTGCTAGGGACATCAAGATGACATACTTTGATACTGTTACAGTCTGTTTTGTCATGTCCTTTGTATCATGGTGCTGCGTATGCCAATACTGTCTTGCATCTGATCCCTTGGTAAAATCAGTTCAGGGAACTAAACCAGCCACAAGTCTCTGCTTTTTTGTATTCCTGGTACTGGCTACCTGAATTGGCTAACTGTGAGATGGAGTGATCAGCAGTGACCAGGGCAAGTGCTGAAAGACTGCTTCAGCAGAATAGCATCAGCATCCAGAGTTACTTAGATTTCGAGGATTTTGGTAGTCCCAAATACTTGGTTGGCTCTGGTTGTAGGACAGCTGTTCTTAGAGCTTCCTAAGAAGGTGAAACTTCATATATTCTTGAAATTCCTCATAGAAATGAATTAGTGTTTCAAATTATCAGTGCCAAGCTATTTGTATTCTTAGTTTTAGTAGTCAGTTGTTTGATATTATTATAATATAGTCTTGAATTAATTTTAAAAGTATTAATTTATAGAGACAAATACGAATTTCTGGTTTCTGCAGACTAGTGGTTAATAAGTAATGTTAACGATGACACCTTTCCAGTTTTAAGGTTGAATAATTGCATTCTAAATCTAAATTGTTACACTTGGAGAAATAGTGAGTTAAAATGTATGTGAAAAATAAAGCATGTACCAACTTGCACATGTATTAATCTTTCCCTTAAAGGACCGACCACCTCCAAACTCCTGGAAGAAGATAGAACAGTCCAGGGAATATAAAAATGGCAATCAGCTCAGGGAATATCAACTGGAAGGACTTAACTGGCTCCTATTCAACTGGTACAATAGGTATATGCATGGAATGTTTTTTAATGTGAATTTTAAACCATGTGGAGTGAATCACTATTACTGAGGATGAATACTGTTTTAACTGAATGTATCTTCTTTGCTTATAGCTAAAAGGGTGCAACTGAAAAAAACAGATTTCTATTCTTTTGGCTGTACAAGTTTGTTTTTATCAACAAAACCAAAAAACAAATCTTAATAAAACTAGCCTACCTGAAAATAATTTTTTCAGTGGCTATGAGGAAATTAAAACAAAAAATAATTTCCACCGAAGTACAAGCTTTCAGAATTTTTGGAACAATGGGGAAACACTTGCATCTTTCAAAATTATTTCTAGAATTAGTATGTATTTAAAATAAAGCTACCTCTCTTCAAAAATAAGGCTAGCAAATAATTCTGTTTTCTATAAGCTAAATTAACTTTTGTTCATTAATGCTTTGATATATTAATGGAAATATAATCACTTTCCAGCTTTTTTTCCCGGAACGGTGTATTTTCTCTGTATCTAAGTTGGATATCTGTTCACAAATCTTCCTGCTTGCTTTATTTCCAAAATACCAGTTGCCTGTCCTTAATAAAGATTGTGTTAGCAAGCATATAATTTTACCATACAGTTTGATGATCTGCAAAAGAAAAATTTGGTTTAATTTGGCTGTGTGACCATCTGTGCAAACAGAGTGAAGGGCTGGAATGTATGGCTGAGGGTGAGCACCTAGTGGTACTTAATGTAGTCATTTGGTTATATGCATTTGTCTCAGTTCTGGAAACAAGAGGGGGAATTTTTCAGTGATGCTATTATGCACTCCTTTTATGTGAGTGTAGCTGGAATACCTTCCATCTGTGACTTTTAGGGAATGTTCATTAATTTCTAGCAGTTTTGTCAAGGTGAGTATACACGTAGGAAATCTGACTAACTTGAATTCCTTTAATTAGGGCAGATATAGTCCCAAAAGAACACTTTCGGAATATTTTTTTCTAGGAGAACCTCATGGAACATTCCAGCCTCAGGTTTTGCCAGTGCTAAACATGATTGAAAGCTTGTGGGTTTGTGTACCGAGTTCGTTCTTTCACCATAACTAGGGAACATTTGCAAGCACCTTTTACAGTGCCTTATTTTGACTATTGTTTTAAACTGGTATATCTGAGCTTTGTGGTTATCAATTGCGCATTTGAGCAACAGCTTTAGTGTCTTCAATGTTAATAACAAATAAATATATTTCACTTTCAGGCGGAATTGCATTTTAGCGGACGAAATGGGTCTTGGCAAAACCATTCAGTCAATTACATTCCTGTATGAAATCCTCCTGGCTGGTATAAGAGGGCCTTTTCTGATCATAGCTCCGCTTTCCACTATAACAAACTGGGAAAGAGAATTTCGCACGTGGACTGACCTTAATGTTGTAGTGTATCATGGAAGTATGATCAGCAGGCAGATGATTCAGCAGTATGAAATGTACTTCAGGGACTCCCAGGTACTGTAATGTCACTTCTATCCAATAACTTGTCCAAAACCTGTTTCAGGTAGTGGTAATGAAAAGTACACTTTTTATTATCTGTACGTATGTCTTAGTGAAAGTCATTTTACATCCTGTGATGTGTTTTTTAAGCTTTTAACATATCAGAATGTTTAACATATGCTTACTGAGTAAATTTTGTGAAAGTGGTTGCAGCAAGATGTATATTGTTTTGGTATGCTGACTAATTTTGCCATTGAATTTCAATGATGCTGATACTCATGTGGAGATTAAAGTGTACACAGATGGTTGCAGTTGGGTCCTGATCTGAAGAGCAGTGAGAACAAAAATACAGCCCATTAAGCCCTATGTTACCTTTATGTAGCTGTTGATTTCCTTTTCCTAGTGTAAACTAGCTTTGTCTGTGTACAGTTTGCTTTTTTGTCTGAACTACTGAATGACACAAAAAAAACCTTGAAATCTGACAATTTTAAAAAGTTTTTTTTTTCTTTTCCGTATATTCTGCATAAATGCACTTTTTTTTAAACTATTAAGGTATTTCTACAAAATCGGTAAGACTGAAAACTTCTAAGTAGTGCTAACTATTAAAATGACATCTTGATTCTCTAGTGAGTTATTGTATACTGCCTTAATGAAGACCTTACATATTCTCTTTGTCAGACCAATGGAGTAGAGTAAGCTGGATAAAATGTGATCATTTATTTCTCCGGTGATTACTTGCTGTATGAGTGCTAAATGTATTGCTGTCATATATTTTGATTGATTGACTACAGGGATTTTCTGGTCAGTCTTTCACATTTTCCGAGGGTTAAAAATGGGATATTATCTCCATGCGCATATTGAAATAGTTTTATTAGATGGTTATATCTGTAATTTAGAAGTGGTTAAAATTTTACTGTTAGTTAGAGAATACTGGATTTGTGGCTATGGATAATTACTCGTTAGTATTAATTACAGAGTTACAGAGATGTGATAAATTTGTATTGCGTAACAAAACAATTTATACTGTAGAATCTGCTGTCTGGCTCTTGATAAAATTTCAGCAACAAAGTCTTTAAATAGAGTAGATTTGAGGTAATGTAACAAATTTTGTGTGTTGATGAATCTCTAGGGACGTATCATTCGAGGTACCTACAGATTCCAAGCCATTATCACAACTTTTGAAATGATTCTTGGTGGATGTCCAGAGTTAAATGCCATTGAATGGCGGTGTGTTATTATTGATGAAGCTCACAGACTGAAGAACAAAAATTGCAAACTCTTGGAAGGACTGAAATTAATGAACCTTGTGAGTAACTATATTTCATTTTTTGGGTTTGATTCTAGTTAAGTACACTAAGATATTAAACCACAAATTTCTTTTACCTGCCAAAAAAAGACCTCTCAAGCAGCCTTTCTCAAGAGATATCTGTTCCTGATACTGTCTTCAAACGTATGTATTTTTGATAGTTGATGCTGGTATGTGTTTTTTATTAAATAAGATGTGGCAAGTTTGAACTGTAAGCAGAATCTATTTCTGATTATACACTTGTATAGTTTGTTTTGATTATGATGATTTCATTTAAAATTTGCTTTCTAATAATAAAATAGTTTTGTGTGAGTTTTTGTGCAGTAATTAATGTTTAAAAACCTAGAAAGTATTTTAAACAAGCTACTTAACAATAAAAGCAAGCCAGTAGTAGAACTTAAACCAGAATTATTGTCTAGTCCCATAGTTAAGGTTTTACTTGATACAGTGCAAGATTTTGAAAAGTGGATTCTATGATGAAACTTGAGGCTTTTGGTGCACTGCTACGAGATGCACCATGACTAGTTTTGAGTTGCTTTTTTGACTTCATTATTACTTTGATACACTTGTTGCTACATGTGCTCAGAAGTAATCTTTATTTGCTTTCTGATCCATGCTTAGTGTATATCTTCCACACCATAGAGAGAGAGGATTATACGTGTGTGAATATTACAGGCAAAAGTTGAAGCGTTCAGTCAATTCTTCATTACAGATGTAGGAAGACAGAATTTAAAGAAAAGGTAGTAGAAAATACTTACTGTTGTTCTTCTATAAATCTGTTTATCTGTATCGCCTGCGTACTTAGTGATGCGCAGAAAGTGGTATTTTCAGGTTATGACGCTCAGGCTTAACACACAGATTTTTGCAAATGTGCACACATGAGGTCATGTGAGTTGTGGTTCCTTTCCTAGGAGCATAAAGTGCTGTTAACGGGTACCCCACTGCAGAACACCGTAGAGGAATTATTTAGCCTTCTTCATTTTCTTGAACCGTTGCGTTTTCATGCTGAATCTACATTCATGCAAGAATTTGGAGACCTTAAAACAGAGGAACAGGTATTGCATGTTCATTTTGAGCTTCAGCGTGTAAGAGTGACTTCCTTGAAGGAAAAACTTGTTTTGCATAGTAACCGTTACGGCTCCCCACCCTACCCTTCACACCCCATATATATCCTATGAGATCTTCTGTCATGGAATTTATCTAAACTGTGCAGGCAGTAGAAATCAGTTGAAGTATGGTATTTTATGTTGAATTATTTTTACTTTTTGGGGGGTCAGTTTTGTAAATTGAGCAGCTAAATAGTAAGAATAATAAAAAATGAAATACTCTGGCTTTGTAGGCAGAGTCTTTGCAGACAAGTGTTAAAAAGATAATCTTTGTTTTGGAGTACATAAAAAAATTCTTTAGTAATTTGGGGTGAAAAATAAGGCTACATGCCATCTGGAAAATACTTTATATAAGTCTAGGGGGAAAAAACTAGTGATACAGAGTTCAAAAATTTTTAATTGCAGTACACTAATACTTTTTTATGTTCCAACCAATTGTTGTGTTGCATTCAGGTTCAGAAACTACAAGCCATCCTGAAACCCATGATGCTCAGACGATTAAAGGAAGATGTAGAAAAAAAGCTGGCTCCGAAGGAGGAAACTATAATTGAAGTAGAACTAACTAATATTCAGAAGAAATATTATCGAGCAATCTTGGAGAAAAATTTTGCTTTTTTATCCAAAGGAGCAGGGCAAGCAAATGTACCCAATCTGGTTAACACTATGATGGAACTCAGAAAGTGTTGTAATCACCCTTATCTCATCAAAGGTATATACATGATAAAGACTCAGGGGTTTTGTTTTGTTTTTTCAATTTTTGTTTTTAAATTTTTCTTTTAAACTACTTTTGTACTTTTATTTAAAATATGTAAGAACTTTTGCTGTAATTGACGTTTTCATCAGACTTTCCAAGGATTGGATTAGGTGAAAGCATTTTTTTGATGGATGTAAGGCAAAGTTGTGAGGCAGTTGCGTATTTGAGGCCTGAAACGTGAACTTGTTGTTTTGTAGGATTTCACAGAACATTTAAAAACTATTATCTCATGGAAATGTTACATCTCTTTAAAAGCAGTATGAAGAAGGACTTCCAGAGCTAACTTTTAAAATGAATACTTCTTGCAAGTGATATGGTCTGTGTCAGTCTCATTTCTCACTTAGTTATAACTAACTTGGATGTTTTTTCTGCTTGCAAGAAAATAGACATTAAGCTCTTAAAAGTTTTTGCTGTGATTTCGGTCATAGTGGGACTTCAGAATAAGTCTTCAAAATTCTGTTTTTAAGACTCCTGTCCCATTTAAGATATCACAGAGGCAAAAGGGATTGTTCTCAAGTATGGTGTAAAAAAGAAAATCTAAAAAAAACCCCACAAGTTGTATTTTCATTTTTGCAGTTGGAGGGGGGTGTCACCTTATTCTAGGTGTTTTTTCTGTGGTTGTCGTCTTAAAATCTTAAGACTTGTTTTCAAAGAGCGTAGAAACAGATGTTCTTGCTAGACTTAAGATCCATCCAGAACTTTGTTCTGTCTCTGGCAGTAGCTAATGGGGGTTATTTAAAGGATAAGCACTGATTTTAGTCAGTTAGTCTTGTAAGGGTACAGAGATATTTGTGTAGATAAACTTCTAGATACAGAAATATATTCTTTGATAGGTGCCGAAGAGAAAATCCTTGGAGAGTTTAAAGAAACGTATAGCCCAAGTGCTCCTGACTTCCATCTACAAGCAATGATCCAGTCTGCTGGTAAATTGGTTCTTATTGATAAACTTCTTCCAAAAATGAAAGCAGGAGGCCACAAGGTCCTTATCTTTTCTCAAATGGTGCGCTGCCTTGATATTTTGGAGGATTACCTTATACATAAAAGGTAAGGTACAGCATCTTCTGTCTCCTGTAGTATGCTTTCCTCAGTAGCCACGTCTTTGAATGTTAGTGCAGGATTAATGATTATAGCATACCAAAGATAGGATTGGGGGCGGGGTTTGCTAACCACTGTGTAACTTGCTGTGTTCTGTGATGGTTTTTCATTTATTGACCAACAAATGAAGAACTTCAGAGAACAACTAAAGAGAGGTTGTTGAGTAAACCATGTGCCTTCAGTTTGTTGCTTTTCCTATTAAATGTTCTTGTATGTATGTACTGTTCATACATTGCCTGTCAGAAACCAAGTAGGTTCAAGCTCAACATTGCTCATCCAAACCCCAGGAAGCATAGAATGTGTTCTGTATTTAGTCAGTGTCAGACTTGGACCAGACAGGGGTAATGCAGCTTCTTACTTCCAACAGCATATAAGTACAAAATGGTAAACAACTGGAGGTTTGTTTTTTATTAATGTAAAAATAAAAATGTGCTTCCTATCTTTTCTAAATTACTACTGCTTTGTATTTTGCAGCAGAACTGAGCTGCCAGCCATAAAGCAGCTCCTTAGATCAGCTTTTGCTGTTACATATAATAGCACCCTTTGATTATACTGTTGACTCCATGGAAGCTAAAAGCTTATTTAAGCACGTGACTAAATACAATGCATAAAGCCTTAGCACATAAAATCTAACCTTTAACTTGGTTACAATCAGTAGTTACTAGATCAACCTGAAAAACTATAAAAGCTTATAGTTCTGGTTGTTTTAATAGTCTTTCTGTTGGAATGTACATACTGCTTTGAAGTGTCTATTTGGCAGTGAACTACAGAGTAAAATAGAGTTAGTATGTAAATAAATAAAAAAATTAGTGAAAATGTCAAGCCTTCTTGCAGTGGATACTGGAATGTATATTGAAAATCTTCAGTAAACTGTATTAATACCTCTTGTTGTGATAATTTTATGTGCCTTCTATGTTTCTATGATTTTTTTTGTTTCATAAAGCTATCTAATTGAACCGAGAGCTCAGCAGTTCATATGTTTTACTTCAGTAGACTAATTTTAAGTTCATAGTACTACTTCTAATCCAGTATGGAAAATATTCCCTTTTCTATAATGATGTAACAGACCAGTGGATCATATCTATAGATAGAATCTTCTGAAATCCATAGAAGCTGAAACTTCCTCTGTGCTACTGTTTTGATTAGAAATGTCACAGTACACACCTGATTAGACTTAATACTTAACAGAATTCATGACTGTAGGACAGGGCTGCGGGCCAAAATGCCTGTGGTCCTGTGGATTATTTGCTGTGCCATTTTATAGCTCATTAGAAGAAAAAAAGGTGATAAGGCTTTTTGACTAGCAGATACATGTTCAGCATCTTACTCCTTTTACAATGTGTGGAAGTATTTGCTCCCTTTTTCAGCATTTCAGTTGATTTCAGAAGTTTCATAGGAATCTTTGTAATTAGGAAAGGTAACAGAAATGGCAGTTTTACTTCAGGCTTTTAAATTTGCCAGTTTCAGTTTAGGAAGCCCTGGATTCTTCGACGCCTTGATAAATGCTGTTAAGAGGTGCTGTCATTTCATTTTTCTTCATTTCTATTAATCTTGACAGAATCAATATGCTGTTTGTCCAATGACAGCTCACCAAGTACTGCTTTCTGCTGACTACTTGGTTCATACAATTTGCTATATAATACAAAAGTATGCTGTCCAGCTTCTGTGACCCTAGGCAGGCATCCAAGCGTAATAGCATGTGAAAAACTTGTAAGTGTCCACATGGGACTTCAGGTTATGGTGTGTTTTAATGCAACTAAGTGCCATGGTAATACATTTTTCCTGGTCTATATAATCAGGTACTTGCTTTAATAGACATAGTTCAGAAGAGCTTGTCTTAAAATGCTTGGTGTTGGAACTGGCTGATGTGTCTTAGTACTACAGATATGTGAGTTCTGTCATGATTCCTGGTTACATTACCCACTGATAATCAAAGTTAGTTTATATCACTTTTACTCACTGTAAAGAGTAAATATGCAAGCAGGAGATCCGTTCTAATTCCCCAGGAAAAATTTTGTAATGACTTGTGTGTGTGTATATCTGTGGCAATTTCCAGATACTTATATGAACGAATTGATGGGCGAGTACGAGGGAATCTCAGACAAGCTGCCATTGACCGGTTCAGCAAACCAGATTCCGATCGCTTTGTCTTCCTTCTGTGCACCAGAGCTGGTGGCTTGGGCATTAATTTGACTGCAGCAGATACATGTATCATTTTTGATTCTGACTGGAATCCTCAAAATGATCTGCAGGTAAATTCCTTTGAGCATAATGGAGGCCTAAGAGCTCAATCAAACCTGGCTGATACAAATTTCGTCGCTTTGAATATTGTCTCTGTTTTGAACATGCATCATTTTAAAATGTTCAGGTTTTTTTAAGGTATATGTTTAATGTTTTTTGACAAATACTTTCTACTTGGATAGGAGAGGTCATCTGGGTTTGGCTGGGCTCTAACTTTTTCTTTCAAACTGCTTACTCTTTAAAAGCACAACACAGGTAAACTAAGTCGGTGAGTTGATAAAACCCTTAAGATTTTGATGACACTATGAAACAGGGGGTTAGATTTTTGCATATACTGACTAACACAGTTTATGGAAATAGAGCTGTTCAGCTTACTATGTAGAAAAGGATTTAATATGTATTATGAAGCAGTGAATTAATCAAATCTAGGCATTGGACGCTGAATTTGAATCCATTCTCGAGTCGCAACTCCTTTATCATTTGTAGTATCTGGAGATCAGAGAACTTAAGAGCTAGCATGTCTTTTTATCTAGTGTTACTGCAAAAGAAGTAACATTCAGTAGCGTTCAGGACAGATCATTCATCTGCATTTTACTTGCTGTGCTGTTTTCAGAAAACTTCACTGTGTGTAAAATGATAGCTTCCATTTATTAAGTGTGAATTGACTTCCTTTTGAGTTCATACTATTGTTTTTCAGATTGTGCTAGCGCAGAAAAAACTTCTTAAAAGAATCATATATTATTCCTAGATAAGTCTTAAATTCTTACTGCTATTCTCCCTTCTTTCAAAAGGCTCAAGCCCGTTGTCACAGGATTGGTCAGAACAAAGCAGTGAAGGTCTACAGACTGATAACGCGTAACTCCTATGAAAGAGAGATGTTCGACAGAGCAAGTCTGAAACTGGGACTGGATAAGGCTGTCTTACAGAGTATGAGTGGAAGAGAAAACAGTGTTGGTGGTGTACGTAGACTTATTTCTTGAAATAACTATCCTTTTGCTCTTGTAATCATGTGGGAACTATTTTTAATTACAGAAGCTACCGTTTTCTGTCATAGACATCTCTGTTATGTTTTCTGATGTGGACAAACAGTATAGTTGACATAATTTTAAATGTAGCCGGTTACTCCGATAATCTTTCACTATTTCTTGCATCTTAAGGTCCGAGGTAGATAATGTCAGAGCTAAGGAGAAAAGTCTCCCTTTGTTTTCTTGTATCTTCTCACATCAGTGTAAAGTGTTACTTTAACATGAGATTTACATCTAGTATTAACAGGTAACTTTTTTTAAACTTAACGTTCATCATGGTGTTGAGACTAGCCAAAATAAAAAAGACACATATTGGTAAAAATGTATATTGTAGCCACATAAAAAAATATTTCAACTGCCAACTAGACTTTTCTCTTAGGTTTTAATAATCTAGATTTTGTTTATAAGTTATAAGGCATAATTGGATTGTAGAAACATTGGAAAGGAAAAAATAAATAGAAAAGACTTCAGAGGATTTTTCTCGACTGTCTAAAACCTATTTTATTTTCTCAGATCCAGCAACTCTCCAAAAAAGAAATAGAAGATTTGCTTCGAAGAGGTGCATATGGTGCCATTATGGATGAAGAAGATGAAGGCTCTAAATTCTGTGAGGAAGACATTGACCAAATTTTGCAGCGTCGTACTAAAACCATCACGATTGAATCAGAAGGAAGGGGCTCCACTTTTGCCAAGGTGCAGAAGCAGCAAGCTGTTCTTTGACAGCATAGAGCTGTAAATAAAATTGAATGTTGTAAAGCTTATGCTTTTTTTAAAGTAATGTTTACTTTTATTTAACATGTGTGTATGTTAGGTACACTTTTTGTGTTCTTACATCTATGTATTTACGTCAACATGTGCACATAGCAAAACAAGATTTGCACATACAGATTAAGTAAATGCCAGATGCAAAGGGCATGCTTGAGCAAAGATGAGTAATGGGTGTGTACCGCTTTTGAAAAGGCTAGGATTTATGTGAGGTATAATGGACTGCATTAACCAAGAATGTTAAAACAGTTTTGTTTATAGATCCATCTATATTCAGATATATCACGAGTATGGGAAAATGTATGTAAGACAATAAATAATAACTTCAAAAATTGTCAGGCTTATTCTAAAAAAGCCTGCACGTAGGCTATAGTTTGAACTTGAGCTTTTTTGGTAAGAGTTTGAAAAGCAAAATAAGAAAGCTCCTAAAATAACAGAGGGTCGAGAGTATATATATGTACACGGAGGGGGCTGAGACTATAAGGTTTTAGCAGTAATAGTCTAGAATAAAACTGGACTGACATTTTCTAATTTTTGGTGGGTAGGAGAATAACAGTAATACCACAGCATCCAAAAAACCTATGCTGGAAAATTCAATGAACAGAACAAAAAGTAAATTTGGACTCCTTAATTTCCAAAGCATGTGCAAATACGAATCTGAACAAATGCAAATACAGATAAATTTAAAAATGCATAAAAAAATACATTTTTTTAAAATATCAAACAGTATAACTGAGAACATGGGTACTTCATGAATGCAGTTGTGACAAAAAAAAAAAGCAAAGGAAAAGGAAAACTTTTAAGAACATGAATATATTTTTATTATTTATAAATAAACATCTATTCAGGCTCCCTAACATCTTGCTGATTGTGGCTTAAATAAGAAATAGACTTCTAACGAAGAGATAGGAAATCAATTAGGGAACATCATCATCACTGTCTTTTTATCAGAAGAGTTAGAAATTTTTATATGTATTTACTCTTTTCCCAAAAGCAGTGTATCCGGGTTTTTTAAATGCCTTCTGAAATTAAGCCTATTCCATGCTCTCAAGCTCTGATTGTTGGTAGTTTAAACACTCGTTTGAAATTTCCCTCCAGTGAGTGCTTTTGCGTGAGATGAAATCCCCGAATGCTGATAAACCTCTTCAAAAGATTCTATTTTCTCCCATTCAAGTAATTTAGATTCAGACTTAGAAGGAGAAGAATCTTGCTGCTTAATGTTCTTCTCTCCTGATGGTGCATAACAGTTCAGTAGACTTTTCTGATGTATTACGGATCTGAATTTAAAAAATTAAGGGGGAGGAGAATTTTTGAGTTGCTTTGCACTGTGAGTAGCTTCTAAACTCCTAACAGCTGCTTGGGAGATTTTTGATGAAACAAGGTTATGCAGTCTTCACAGAACTGACTCATTCAAACTCTACAAACTTTTGATATATGATGTTGGTAAGATTTGCTTTTATTTATTACAGGCTAGTTTTGTTGCGTCTGGAAACAGGACTGATATTTCACTTGATGATCCCAATTTCTGGCAGAAATGGGCAAAAAAAGCAGAAATAGATATCGATGCTATCAGTGGTAGAGTAAGTACTTCTCTTTTTTTAATGCACGTTTTCTCAAGTATGTGCTTGCTGTTAAATACTGAAATAGCAGGTGTAGGATTTCTTGTGCTTTTTTGATTCATATTTCAACAAATTAGACTTTTTGTAGTGGTTAGTTTGTGGGTAATCAGCCTGCTGATAGCTTTAACATATCCTAGCTCCCTGCTGTCCCGAAAGAGTTTTGGGGTCTTTGATTTTTGTCAAAGACCTGGAAATGGTTGAAAGTGTTCTGGTTGCCCTGTTTCTTTCTGAAATCCTGGGCTGGAATCTACAAAATGGCTGACTGAGAATTATATCAATTCTATAATACTGGAAGTTGTCCCCTGTATGTGAAGACATTCCCATGCAATCAGTTCTAAAAAGATTTCAGCGCCCCTTTTTACTCACAGAGACTGCAGCATAGTCTGTGTGTATATTCGACTCAGATGAGGTATTCAGTATTGTTTATACCTATGTACCGGCCTCATGGTATGAAACTCTTTTTTGGTTGTTTTTTGGTTTTGCATTTTTTTGCGTGTTTTTGTTTGTTTGTTTGTTTTTTTGCCTTAAATACCAAAAAATGTTTTACTTTCTTTATGGATGTTTACTGTTACGTCTTCACAAAATCCGTATTAATGACATTAGATAGAAATTGTTGTTTCTGAACTGAAGCCAGCTACTTAAGAAAAACTTCCCAGCTGTTTCTCTGATAAGGTTTGCTTGAAATTTTGCAGAACAGCCTGGTTATTGATACCCCAAGAATTAGGAAACAAACGCGGCCCTTCAGTGCTACAAAAGATGAGCTGGCTGAGTTGTCTGAAGTAGAGAGCGAGGGTGATGATAAACCAAAACTCCGCAGGCCTTGCGACCGTTCCAATGGATATGGAAGAACAGAGTGTTTTCGGGTGGAAAAAAACTTGCTGGTCTATGGGTATTGTATACATCCTTCTTTATAGGAATTTTTAACAAACTACTGTTTTTGAGTATACTAAATTGTATTTATGGAGTAACTTTTAGCTATATTGGCAATAACGTCCTGTGTATATATATAGAACTTATTTAGAATATGAATTAACGAGAATTTATCATGCACCCTGTATAAACCTTTGTGACAATTTGCAATTGAAGAAGCATTAAAGAGAGGTGAAAACCTTTCTTCGAAGGACATTATGACATTTAACATAGGCACTACAGTAGTCTCTAAAAATCGTTACAGTAAGTGCTGCAGGCAGGCACAAAACTCTGTAGATAAATAAATATCTGAAATAAAGGCCTGGTAGGTAACTTAATGCTCATAATTTCGGAACATCTTGCACCTCCATGAGGTGCAAATAGCAACTGAAAATCTAACCGGTTGTTTTAAGCATACTTAAATCAAATAGGTTGGTTTGGAGATAAAATCTTATGTCTTCTCTCACCCATCTTGTAAGATGAATGGCTGTGTTTGCTTATCAGTATGAGTTCCTGTCAGTTTTGTGTCTTAGAAGCCTAAAACAATCATCCATATTTTTGTGTAAACAGGCAAGTTTTGTTTAAAACTCTGTTTTAGAGAGATTGGAGTTTTGTTGAAAATGTTACTTTCATATTTCCACTCAGCAACTTAAGCTGAAGGAAAAAAAGTGGAAAGTGAAGTACTTTACAGAGAAATTCCCTTTTGTAACAGAAATCTACAGCCTACCCAAGTGTTTCACTTCTAAGTGCTGATTTGTGTTTCACTGTGGCCTAGGTGGGGTCGATGGAGAGAAATTTTGTCACATGGTCGCTTCAAGAGACAGCTGAATGAACAGGATGTGGAGATAATTTGCCGAGCTCTGTTAGCCTATTGTCTTGTTCACTACAGAGGGGATGAGAAAATAAAAAGTTTTATATGGGATCTCATTACCCCAACAGAGGATGGACAAACACGAGAGTTACAAAATCACCTTGGTAAGGACTTACATGTTTCTGCAGTTAAATAGCTTTATATACATATGCCTGTGGTACTGGGGTAAAAACAGCTGAAAATTCTCTCTGAATGCAGCCTACTTGAAATAAATTGAATGTGTTCCAGATACACAACTCAATTCATGGGAAAAGAAGTGTCATTTCTGCTTTGCTTTGTATTTGATGGCTTACGCAAATGGATTGGTGTATTCTGCGTAAGCTTTCTTTTCATTTCAGTTTGTAAGAACTTGCTTGAGTGTTTCATACTAGGCGACAACACGCTCTCCTTTCTTTCCCCCTCTCCTGCTTTGTCCTTAGCTAGTGAAATGTACTCCAGACATGGTCTAAGAGACACAAGAGAAGAAAAACTCATATCCAGAGGCTGTGATGCTAGGATTTTTTTCTGCATTGCGGGTCACAATACTGGTATAGGATATAGGAACTATAAGTATCACTGGGATTTATACCTATCTGTTGCTGTTACTGTATTATATTTTAAATTATATAGGCTTATCAGCCCCTGTGCCTAGAGGAAGAAAAGGAAAAAAGGTGAAGACCCAGGCTAGCACTTTTGATATACACAAAGCAGAATGGCTTCGAAAATACAATCCAGAACATCTGTTGCAAGATGAAGGATACAAAAAGCACATAAAACACCATTGCAACAAGTAAGCAGTAGCTGAAGCGTGAATGTCTTTCAATGCTTACGTAAAGACTCTTTTTTTTTCTTCTAATTCCTCACTGTCTTAGAATTCAAAATACTAGTGGCACATATATGAGGAAACAAGTTTTTATGGTGTTAGCTTGCTTAGAATAAATAGGTTGCAGTGTATTAGCAGGTGAACCAAGTATTTCACATTTAAAATAAATTTGTTATCATTTTTAAAGAAACTGTATGTTTGTGTCTGTACACAGAAGGTGAGAGTTACCTTGCATGTTTGGGGAGTCTTGTAGCAGCGAAAAGACTAAACAGCTTGGGAGTGCCTAGCAAAGAAACCGAAAGCACTGAAGTCATTACTCCTCAATTCTTATATGCTGTTTACCCTGGCACGTTTTCTAGGCTACTGACACTCTGAGCTACTAGCGTGTTTTAGATAAATCATTTTTATGTGGCAAAACTTGCCATATTCTGCTTGAAGACTTCATACAGCTCTAGTCAAGAATTGAGATAAAGCATGGAGAAGCCATTGGGGTCATGCACCGAATTCTAAGTGAGAAGGAGTTAAGAGGTGATGTGAAAAATGTTTATTGTCAGCCCACTTGATTCTTTCTAAAGAAATAGTCTAAGTAGGAAAAGGGAAGTAGTAGTTGGTTCTTAGTGGTATTTTCTGAAGCAAGTGAGGAGAGTTCTGCTGGCCCTGGTCTTTGTCTAGAATTTGAAAGAAGTTTTGCAATGAAGCAATTTATAAAAGTGATCACAATAAAAAGTGTTAGGTGGCCTGCATTGCAGGTTATCTCCTTGTAACTGAAGGAAGTATGTTTTAGGAAGATGACCTGAAAGCTTTGTGGTATTTCAAAAGACAAAACAAAACCACTGACAATTAATGAAAGCTTTGAGAGTGCTAATATTTGGTTGTTTTTTTTTTTCCTTTGTTTAGGGTTTTGCTTCGAGTAAGAATGCTGTATTACTTAAAACAAGAAGTCATTGGTAATGAATTCCAAAAGGTGTTTGATGGAATTGATGCCAGGTGAAATATAGAGAGGTTTTTTGCTTGTTTATTTTAAATGTAAACTGTCAAAGGAAAATACAGAAATCTTCCTAGACCTCAATAGGAAACGTTAAAATCAAGTATTTGTATCTTGGGCTGTGATAAAAATGTTTTTGTTTACTCATCATTTATTAAACACTCTGTAGTGACTTGGTATGAGGAAGTCCAGATTCCTATTTTTGAGTCTAGCTATATAAAGTAAAATAATTTCAGTCAAGCAGACAGAAAAAGTGAATGAAAGATAGAATTCTATACTTTACATTCTAATTGGTGGTTTTTTTCTGCCTCTTTGTGCACACTTTTGGTTATGTGCTGCATATTCCATGAATTTTTTTTTTTTAATGGGAAGTATTACCATTTGGAAATTCTTGAACTCACTGCTACAGGGGCTTGTGGTGGACAGAAAGTTTTAATTTGATTCAGAAAGCTGTTACAAACACTCGTGGAAGAACAGTCCACCTCACGCTATTAAACACAAAAGCAGATAATCCTTGGTTTGCTAAGTTTTGCAGCACAAACTACTAGGAGTTGGCAGAGTTTACCGAGAGAGGAAGAATATCGGATGCTGGTTCTGCTTTCGTATTCTTTCTCTGTTACTGGTCTCTGTCAAATACAAAATACCAAGCTGTCTGGGTGTTTTGTATTGCCGTTTTTAGGGTGTTACTGAGTGCAGAGGTGAAAAATTGTATGTCTCGGTTTCTTTAGGTTATCAAAATTATTCTTAATGATAGATTAATATTGTATGGCTTAATACAGCTTAGTAGCGCAACCATCCACTTTTTAACTGTTACTTGCTATTAAATAACAAAGTGCGTTACAAAATTAAACATTTCAGTTCCTAGGACTCTTTACAACTTTCCGTGTAATCTTTGAATTAATTTTCTGGACATGGAATGTTGTATATGTGTGCTTGACGAGAGAAGTTTAAAATCCCACATAAAGTACAAATGTACAAAGAGAAAATAACTTTTTTTTTTTTCTCCTTCCTCTGACTATTCTTGATCTTGATGTGCTGTTGGTGATTCTCCTTAGTGAAATTGATGTTTGGGTCCCTGAGCCAGATCACTCTGACGCTCCTGCTGAGTGGTGGGATGCAGATGCAGATAAGTCCCTCCTAATAGGAGTTTTTAAACACGGTAAGTTGGATGACTGTGTATGTACTTCCCCACACCTGAATATAAACACCCTACACTCAATGTTTTTATAGCTTTTCCTGAAAGTTGAATTTGTGCCCCTGGTTTTTTCCTTTATAGGTTATGAAAAATACAACACTATCCGAGCAGACCCAGCACTGTGCTTCTTGGAAAGGGTTGGCAAGCCAGATGAAAAAGCAGTTGCTGCTGAACAGAGAGCAAATGATTATATTGATGGGTATGAGCACTTAAAAGTGGGCATGAGTGTTTCAGGGCCTTGAAGTAAAGGAGACTGAATTTCTGTTTTGTACTTTATTCTCCTCTTCAACTGGTTTTATACTACTTTGATGTCACTGTTGTGAAGAATACTACTTTGATTTTACTCCTACAGAGTGGAAAAGAGTTAGGAACAGTGTAACAGAACCAGTGAAGTTTGAGATTTCACAGTTAAAGAAAAATTGCATCAACTTGTTGTTAACAAGGACTCTACCTTGTACTGCTGTATCAGATATATTACTTAAACACTGAGTTGCAAAAGCCTTCAGAGGCAGAGTACTAGAGATCTATTTAACTTGATTTCGGGTCGGTCAGCTTGGTGCATTAGTCTTGTGTAGCTAACCAGTGACCCCAGTAGATCAACTTGAGTATCACTGGTAACTGCTGGAAGGGAGAGCTGCTTTTACTTATTGCTTCATCAGTGAGCTCAGCAGCTGTGGTTGTAAAGAACATCTTTGAATGAGATAGTGAATTGGGGGGGCAGGATTCAATGAAATATTCATGAAATATTTTTCTTGTTTCAAATAGAAAATTAAATACAGTACATCTAACTAAATTTAAATGAGTTTTGCTTAATTGAGAAGAGTGTAAGGACTTCTAAAGTATTACTAAGATGGGTTCTTTTGTGTTGAAATTTTAACAGGGATGTAGAAGATCCAGAATATAAACCAGCACCAGCAATGTTTAAAGATGACATAGAGGTATAGTAGGCAGCTATTAATATCTCCTTTTAACACACTTAGAATGTGATACTTCCACCTTTTCGTTGAGAAAATTATTGCATTTTTCTGTATTTCTCCAAAATGATAGAACTTTTTCTGTTCTATCAAACAAGTGTTTCTGCACTTGTGTGGGCTGGGGGAATGGGAGGGAATTGGTGTATAATTCTGCCTTGTTAGCCATTTGTCCAAAGGATATGTTACACTTGTTCTTTGTCACATTCGTAAATGTTTTGCAAGATGTAAGTTTAAAACCTAAATCTCTGGAGAGGGCTACATTTTAAATTTTGCTTCACTTTTTTTTGTCTACAGGATGATGTTTCATCCCCAGGTGATCTAGTAATAGCAGATGGAGGTAAATACATAAAACTTGAAATCTGAGTCACTTCAGTCTATTTTGAATTGTGTAATTCTCCTGACTCTTAGCTAAAATGTATGTAGATTGCCTAGTGTAGAACCACAGGCACCAGCAGTGATCAACTTCTTTATTTTTCCTGTGACTTCGTTTTAATGCAGATGGACAAATGATGGAAGGAGACAAAATCTATTGGCCCACTCAGTCTGCCTTAACAACACGTCTTCGCCGCCTAATAACAGCTTATCAACGAACAAGTAAAAATAGGCAGGCCCAGCAGATCCAGCCAGCATTCCCAATACAAACTAGTATGATGCAGCCTCCATACGAAGAAGCTGCTCTAAATCCAAAGATGGCTGCTAAGATTGAAAGACAGCAAAGGTATGTGCAGCATGCAAATACACACTTTTAATACATCCTTATATAAAAAATACTGAAGAAATAATAATTGCTAGCTGCGTGAAATAGTGAAGAAAATGACAGGATTTCCAATTTTTTTCTTGCTGATCAAGATGGACGAGAAGAGAAGAAGCTGACTTTTACAGAGTTGTGTCCACATTTGGAGTGGTGTTTGATCCTGAAAGGGGACGATTTGACTGGACCAAATTTAGAGCAATGGCTAGACTGCATAAGAAAACTGATGAGAGCTTAGAGAAGTACTTGTATGCATTTATGTCAATGTGCCGGAGAGTCTGTCGTCTCCCATCAAAAGAAGGTGGGTGTATGTATTTTTACTTTTAGTTTTATGTTTCATTTCTGTTGCCAGTGCTTAGCTTGAAAAGGTTTTTCTTTCATGTGTTCCAAAGTAAAAATGGGGGAGAAGGAAATAAGGAAACAAGTTAAGTGTAAAACTGAGAGCTTATAATGGGAGACATACATTAACTAATTAAAGCCATCTACTTCTAGTATTGATTTGCGGTGGGTCCTTTTTTTGCCAGATTCTCATCTTTGTTTTGTTTTAATACAGAACTCGTAGACCCAAACATTTTTATCCAACCGATTACAGAGGAGCGTGCTTCTCGGACTTTGTATCGCATTGAACTCCTAAGGAAAGTGCGAGAACAGGCTCTTAGACACCCACAGTTGTTTGAACGACTAAAACTGTGCCAGCCAAACCCAGACTTACCTGTCTGGTGGGAGTGTGGGACACATGACAGGGACTTACTTCTTGGAGCTGCTAAACATGGAGTTAGCAGGACAGATTATCATATTCTTCGTGATCCCGAACTCTCATTTATGTCTGCCCAGCGGAATTATAATCAAAATAAAGTGGCGCTCTCAAGGACTTCTACTCCACTCTTGCATCAGTATCAAATGGCGTTATCTGCTTCTCCTCTCACACCTCAGTCAAGATTGTCAGATGCTAAAGTGAATGCTTTAGAGGACACAAAAGCTAAAAATGAAAATCTGAAGGAGGACCCTCAGTCTTCTGAAGAGGAGTCTATGTCTACAGAGGAGACACAGACAATAATGAAATCTGAACCCTTGAGTCCAAAAAATGGCACACCAATACAAAACACAGACCACAAAGCTAGCATGAAGACTGAAACAGACAGGCGCATGGTGGCAGCAAGGACAGAGCCTCTAACTCCAAACCCAGCTTCCAAAAAACAGAGAGTCAGCAAAAGGGGTTCTGACTCTAGCTCTGACTCAGACTCTGACTCAGACAGATCATCCTGTTCTTCCAGGTCATCATCTTCATCTTCGTCGTCTTCCTCATCTTGTTCACACTCTCGATCAGGCTCTAGCTCTTCATCATCTTCATCTTGTTCTTCTGCATCTTCATCCTCCTCCTCCTCATCCTCGTCATCATCGTCGTCATCATCATCATCATCTGAAGAGAGTGATAGTGATGAAGAGGAGGCACAAAAACGTGGTATGTGTGTAGTCTTATTTCTGCAGTATAACTCTTAAACTGAACAAGTTTCGTCTTAATGGAAAAAAAGTCTAAAAAAGGATATTAAATCCCTCAAAAGTGAACTTAAATAATTTGCTTGATAGTTGAAGTGAGTTGTAAGAATTTCAGGGATACAGCATTTTCTTTGCTTCATATCATTGCCTTAGATGAGGTACTTGGGATTTGTTGACTGATACCTTGAGCAAGCTTACTGTGCATGTGGTTCAGGTGTGGGAGGAGAGTTGAATGGCTAGTGTCTTCTGGAAGTTTGTTGTGTGTGTGTATTCCCTACTACTGTTTCTTTTTCTTCCTAAATGTAGAGATTCTTTTGGTTTCCCTCTTCGTTTTTCCACTCTTGCTCACCTGTCTTTGTAGTTTCCCACATTGTGCTTTCATGAGATCTTCCAGCTTCCTTCCAAGCTATAGATTGATGTAAGCTGCTTTTTCTTGTAAACTTGTGTTTGCACTCAGTGTGTAAAACCTCAGTGTGCTTGCACTGAAATTTTTCAAACACTTAAAAATATGTACCTGCTTAGAAAAGACTGAGGTGATTATGGAGCATAGGACCAAATAACACAGAGACGCTTTTGAAAGCTTCAAAGTAGAAGCAAAATCCTCTGATCAGTGAAACGATTTAAAATTTTTAATAAACCAACCAATGATTATTTAATACATTCCTTATTTTGATGCTATGAAGTGGCCTCTACTCTTGCCCCCTTGAAACTCCGAGTATGCAAAGACTTCTCTGTGTGATAACGAATGGTAGTGGGGAGGGGGGGAAAAAAAAAAGAGAAGGATCAAGTTAGGCAGTGGGATTACAGCATAAATATATAAGATTTTTTTTTTTTTTTTCCCCCAGTACCTCAGGGAAAAAGGCATTGTGTTAATCACATGAACCCTCTTGCCTGTGGAAATGACATCTGGAAACCAATAGGGTTTATTTAATGTGAAAATGATTACTGGGCAAGTAAAATGCCACTTAAACAAAATGATTAAGATGCTGGTGCAGTGGAAGGACATTTTCAGAGGAAACAGTTGTATGCAAACATTAAAACAGTGACGAAAAAGGAATGCTTTTATTACATAAATATTTAGATCTAGATGGTGGGTATTATAACGTGCTACAAGGCCCAATATTAGGCTTGCTTTCTGCCAGCTCAGTCTGTTTACAGAAGTAATTGTGCCACCCTCAGATTGCAAAATCTCGTAAATCAGTCAGCCTTTCTTTTTGTGGGTATTTTGTTCTAGGTTGGTGTTGAAGAGATTGGTAAATGTTGGAAGATTCTCTTAACTTTACCTGCATTTTAATGTTAAGCCCAGGTTTTATTTCATACGTGATCATGAACCTTTGGCATACTTTGCACATTCGAAATATCTTTTAAGGGAGAGCTAAATTGTATCAGATTACTTGATACGTAGCTATTGTTAAGGACAAACTTGAGTTCTGTACAATTGTCCCTCAACTCTTACTCATTGTGTGCTGATGAAGTACTTACCTTTCGGGC